GATGGGGTCTTTGCCTGGTTTGGGGATTAAGGTAATGCTGGCCTCATAGACTGAGTCTGGAAGCTTTCCTTCTGTTTCTATTTTTTGAAACAGCTTCAGGAGAGTAAGTATTATTTCTTCTTTGAATATTTGGTAGAATTCCCCAGGGAATCCATCAGGCCCTGTACTCTTCTTGTTTTTTGAGAGGTTTTTATCACTGCTTCAATCTCGTTACTGATTATTGGCTTATTCAGGTTGTCAATTTCTTCCTGTTTCAGTCTTGGCAGTTTATAAGTTTCCTGGAAGGCATCCATTTCTTCTGGGTTGCTTAATTTATTGGCAATAATTGTTGATAATAATTTCTAATAATTGTTTCTATTTCCTTGGTGTTAGTCATGATCTCTCCCTTTTCATTCATGATTTTATTAATTTGGGTCCTTTGTCTTTTCTTTTGGATAAGTCTGGCCAGTGGTTTATCGATCTTATTAATTCTTTCAAAGAACCAACTTCTAGTTTCGTTGATCTGATCTACTGTGTTTCTGGTTTCTAATTCATTGATCTCTGCTCTAATCTTAATTATCTCTCTTCTAATGTGTGGCTTAGGCATTGTTTGTTGCTTTTTCTCTAGTTCTTTAAGGTGTGAAGTTATTTGGTGAATTCAAGTTTTTTCTACTTTTTTGAGTGAGGCTTGGATGGCTATGTATTTCCCCCTTAGGACTGCCTTTGCAGTATCCCATAGGTTTTGGACTGATGTGTTTTTGTTCTCACTGGTTTCCATGAATTGTTTAAGTTCTTCTTTTATTTCTTCATTGACCCAAGCATTCTTGAGCAGAGTGGTCTTTAGCTTCCAAGTGTTTGAATTTCTTCCAAATTTTTTCTTGTGATTGAGTTCCAGTTTTAAAGCATTATGGTCTGAGAATATGCAGGGAATAATCTCAATCTTTTGGTATCAGAATGTATTTATAATAAAGTTTGTGGTGCAACAGCAAGAGTCAATGAGTACAAAGTCAAAAATGTCACTCAGAGTCACCATCAGCAGTCATAATAACACCAATACTAATCAATACATGTGGTATTAGACCCCATGAAGGGTCACACTTCAGTAGTAAAGCTAAAATGGCACCAGAGCAAACACTACACTAAAGTCATCCTAACAAAGTTCTAAAAAGTCTGGAAAATGGTACCTCTTAACAATAAAAAGAATAAGTCTGGCAAAGATGAAGCTGATTCACAAGTAATTTAACTGCTTGCCAAAACAAAATTCAGCACTCAAGAAAGGGTGATAACAAAATGCAGTCTTTCAGTAAGTTAACACTCTTAATGTCCAGCAGCCAATAAAACATTATTGAATATCCAAAGAAGCAGGAAAATGGGACTCATAACCAGGAGAAAAATCCACCACAGGGAAAAGAAAACCCAAATGTCAGATGACAATGCTAAACGAGCAATTATAAACATGCCCAAGAATTAAAGGAAAACAAATAGAATGAGGAGAAAAAGGGAGACTGTAAAGGAGGATCAAATGGAATGCGGAAATGAAAAAATAAACCCAATAGGCTTTAAAAAAAGAAAAAAGATAAATGAACTTGAAGATAGAGCAACAGAAACTTTCCAAACTTTCCAAGCACAGAGAGACAAGGAGACCAAAAATAAATGACCAGAGCTTCAGTGACTTGTAGGACAATATCAGAAGGAGGGGAAGTCGGAAAAGAAGATGGCCTTAAAATTTCCAAACTGGAAAAAACTATAAACCCACAGATCCAGGACATTCAATGAACCCCAAGCAGAAGAACATACATACAAAAAATCATACATGGCATACCATAATCAAGGTGTGGAAACCAGTGACAAAGAGAACCTCTCAAAAGCGGTCAGAAAACAAAAGACTTATTATACACAGGGGGACTAGGAGGAGATGCCAAGCTTTCATTAGAAGAAAATGCAAACCGGGGCGCCTGGGTGGCTCAGATGGTTAAGCGTCTGCCTTCAGCTCAGGTCATGATCCCGGGGTCCTGGGATCGAGCCCCACATCGGGCTCCTGGCTCAGCCAGGAGTCTGCTTCTCCCTCTCCCTCTGCCTCTCCCACTGCTCATGCTCTCTCTCTCTCTGTATCTCTGTGTCTCAAATGAATAAATAAAATCTTTAAAAAAAAAAAAAAAAAAAGAAGAAAATGCAAACCAAAAAATGCTGAATGACATCTTTAATGTTTTGAAAAAAAAACCAAAAACCTCTAAACTTAGTATTCTATATCTAGCAAAAATAAAGGCAAAATAAAGACATTTTCAGATATACAACAACAGAGATAATTTGCTGTGAGTGGACTTACACCACAAGAAATGTGAAAGGGAGTTCTTCAGGCCAGAGCAACAAAGACTATAGAAATGGGAAATGGGAAAGGATAACTATAAGATTATAATCTAAAAATATAAATTTTATAAGAAATATTTTTTCTCATTTAAAACTTTCCCCTAAAAAAATAATTGGCTTTTTAAGGAAATATAAAAGCAATACACTGTTGAGTTTGTAAAATGCGTAAAGTAAAACATATGACAACAACCATACAAAGGTCAGGAAGGGATAAATGGAGATGTATTGTTGCAGGGTTTGTACGGTGAAGTCATATATACATGCATGAAGTAAATAGTATTTGGTGGCGGTGATAAATTAAAGGCGCATGTTGTAAATCCTAGAGCAACCACGAGAACACCCCTCCCGGATGAAAAAAAAAAGGAAAAAAGCGAAATAAGTCATTAGTGAAGATAAAAAAGGGAGTACAAGAAATAAATTCAATGAATCAAAACTAAACAGAAAAAGAAGTAAAAAGAAAAGAGAACAGATATGATAAAGAGAAAAACAGCAAGATGGGAGACTTAGTGATAACTACATTCAATGTAAATGGTCTAAAAGGCCCTCAAAAAAGGGGGGGAAGCAAAGCCCCACCCCAAACCAGGAGGGAAACATAATTTATTTCTACACGATTCATTTCCCAAATGGACTCATGCCCCCTGATTAAAGCCGAAATGGGACTTCTACAGTCAGAGTCAGGCTTGGCTAGCAGGTTACCCGGGCAACCTGTCGTTCTGGGAGAGCCATTGTTCCTCCCGCTGCCTGTGGCTCTGGATAGAGTGTTCAGCTATTTGTCTGAGCATTGGATTTGTGTGACCCCTCGCAGCTCATGAGAGGAAAATGCTTTCCACACAGCTGCCTCCTGCCCAGCGCAGCGGGGGGAAACCATGGGCTCTGGACTCAGGCTGTCAGGTTTTAATACTGGCTCCAGCACTCACTGAGTTGATATATAACATCTTTGAGCCTCCGTTCTCTTACCTCTAAAATATGAACACCCGTTGGGGCAGCTGGCGGCTCAGTCAGTTGAGCGGCTGCCTCCTTTGGCTCCGGTCAGGATCCCAGGGTCCTGGGATCGAGCCCCTCATCGGGCTCCTCGTTCAGCAGGGAGCCTGCTTCTCCCTCCCCCCCCGCCCCTCCCCCTACCTTGTGCGCGTGATCTCTCTCAAATAAATAAAATATTTAAAAAAATTTTTTTAAATAAAATAAAATATGAATATGCGTTTTGAAATCCTATTGGGAAGATTCAATGTGCTCCTAGGAATAAAGTGCTTTACAAAGTATAGTGAGCACACCCAAAATATGAAAAATAATAAAAAAAATATTGTAGGCACTGACCAATATTAACACACATGAGGTCACCCAGTGCACATGGTACCTAATCATAGCCATTGTTCATCGAACTTTTACTGCCTGTTGTACACTGAACTAATGGTTTTGCTTTGTTTTTTTTTAAAGATTTTATTTATTTATTTGACAGAGACATAGTGAGAGAGGGAACACAAGCAGGGGGAGTGGGGGAGGGAGAAGCAGGCTTCCCGCCAAGCAGGGAGCCCGTTGCGGGGCTCGATCCCAGGACCCTGGGATCATGACCTGAGCCGAAGGTAGACGCTTAACGACTGAGCCACCCAGGCAACCCTGAACTAAGAGTTTTTATATAATACCATAAGGAATCCACAGAACAAGCTCTCAAAGTATTTATCCTTATTTTAGAAATCATGTTTCAAAGAGGTTAAGTCATACTGCTAGTGGACATGTCACGACTCTGTAGACCATGACTAGTCTGGGTCTTTTGTGAGTTCGTTTATTTACCCAACACATACATTTATCAAGTACCTACTACTCCTCACCACCGCACAACACTGCATTCCTCAGGGCTATATGATCGTCTTTCAGCAGAATCAAAGCTGATAACACAGGCTCTCGCAGGATAAAGAGGCTATGTTCACAATATTATTGATTTACACTTCATTCTTTCCCTAAAACATCACAAATGTTATTTGCTTTTCCCAACAGACATGAAGAGATGAGGCTTTGCATTCCTTCTCAGCAGAAAGCTGCCCCCTTTGGTGGGAAGTTGGAACAGTACCCAGAGGCTGAGAATCTTCTCTCACATTGGCAAGCCACTGATTAATGACCTGCATCTGCCTATTAGGCCCCCAGGCATGTACTATGCTTTGTGTTTTCCACACAGATTACCTCATTTAATCCTCACAGCTACTCTAGGAGGTGCTATTATCATCATCTGCTTGCATGCTTCAGGCATGCAAGTTTTTCCTCTGAGGGGCCGGCGCTCAGTAACCCACTGGACTCACAGAGCTGGAGGGTGGCAGCGCTGGGATGTGGATCCAGGCAGTCGGGCTAGGGCCTGAGGGCGTGCTTCATGTTATTTCTCTCTGTTTTTGCTGAGGAGACTTGAATGTCCCTCAGTTAAATGCTCAGAGGATACAATTCTACCTCATGTCAATGACTCTAGGCCCTACCTGCTCACAGCCTTAGGGGTGTCCCTGTCTCCTTCAAAACACCCTCAACTTCCTTGGTCAGACAAATAACGGAGATGTGTACAGAGCAGGAGCTCAGTAAGTGTCTGAGGAAGGGACGAAGAAATACAAGAGAAAAGGAGGGCGGTAGAGGAGAGGAGAATGAATCTGAACAGAGTCTATGGGAGGAGATCCCACCTTCTGCAGCTTCCTCCTCTCTGCCTCCACCGATGAGCGAACAGACTTGATTTCTAGGGTGTGCTTCTTCACTAAGTCTTCCAGTCGCTTCACTAGCTGGTCTTTGAGATGTTTCTTCTCCTCTTCTGTCTGATGTTTGATTTTACGAAGGTCTTCTTCATACTGTTGCTTCATATATTCCATCTCAATACTTGCCTCTTTCTTGGTCTAAAAACAAGAGAAAGGGCCTTGTAAACCTGCCAGCGTGGGGTGAGGCGCAGGGAATCACTGTTTCTCTTTGGTACAACGTTTACAACATTTACACACTGATTTTACCGCACATAGTGCAAGGGGCCATAAAGTTCATAAGACTATGGATCTGATATTCATGAGCCTTCACCTGTGGTCACGGGATCGATATTCCAGCCCACTCTAGTGGTGTCTAAAGAATGTTTTGTTTGTTTTGATTGGGGAAGAGATAGTGGGAGTCTTATGCAAGTTTCCAGTTTCCCAGGAGCCAACGACAGAAGTTGGGAGAATTCTGCTATATTCTTAGTCTCCTAATTTCAAATGGCAGGAAGTTAGCTGGAACTTCACACCCACACATCCACCCCTCAAACCATGGGACCTGCTGCTCCCAAGTAGCTCTGTCATAGTTGGGGATTGGCCTCTACCCGAAGCTCATTCCAGCAAAACCTCCTGTGACTTCTCCATTCCCAGGGCTGGGTCAAACCTTACCTGTGCCTCTGGGCCTCCTTTGGTGTACGGACACTCCTTGGGAAAATTTGGGTCCTGCTGAGGATGGAGACTGCGGCCTTCCAGGTCATTCTCCTTCCCTAGGACTTCATTCTCTGAAACTAGCTCCGTCTTCATGTCATCTGCAAGCATAAGTTTCAACATCATTTAAAATGCCCTTGACCTTGACCTTGTGTTCAAGGTATTCTGCAGTCAGGTACCTATTCTGCTATTCGACTGCTCTGCCCCCCACTGCCTGGTGGACTTCCTGCTCTGTGGCCTTCTAGTCCTCAAGCATGGTCAAAGTGGTGACTGTTGTCTTTGCTCAAGCAGCATCTTGAGTTCAAACGGTTGCCCTGTTCTAGCTTCTTAAACTAGTCATCGTCAAAATGTTTTGATCATGCTTTCTGTACGTCAAAAAAACCATTGAGCACGTTCCTGGATATATATGCATTCAAAAGATTTAAATGTAAAAGATAAGACAAAAAATAAATATAACTAGAGATGCTCATTGTTTTCTTTCCCATATTGTCAGGAGGTATCCCTGCCCCACTTTTGAAAACACTGCACAAAATCCTCCACACACTTCTGGTTCCAACTCAAACCTCTCCTCCTCCACACCTTTCCGGCCCATGGTGACTTCTTTCCAGGACGCTTCATTCCCCTGGTGCCTGGGCCACTGCATGATGCCAAAGCGTGCTCTGGGCTGTCAAGTCACTGTCCCATAAGGTCCCTGGGGGCAGAGTCCATGTTTTGTGCCTTTGTTATATCTCCTAGTATCAAGCTGATCACACCATAGGTATTCAAGAACTTTCTGATGAAGGAGTCTCCTCCTTCAGAGGAAGGCACTCTGGAGTCAGATATGCTGAGATACACACACCTGTTCTATCACTGACCCGTGGCCTTGAGCTAGCCACTTATCCTTCCTCAGCCTCATTTCTTCATCTGGACCACAGGAGACACTGACAATCCCCATTCACAGAACTATTGGGAAGACCCGGTAGCGTCACTGTGTGAAATGATGGGGGAAACGTGAAGTGTTGCTTAAGCGTGGAGGAGAAGCCAGTGCTGAGCAGTTCAGGCGTGCAGTGAGCCTGGTGAAGAAGTTCCTGGGGGGCAAGGGGTTCCGCTGCACCATGCCTTTAGCTCTCTGCACTGTGGCAGCTCCGGGGGGCAGCTCACCCATGCCCTGCCTGGACTGAGCTCTCCCACCAGGGGTCAGATGGAACAGCCCGCCCCTCGCTCGGCTCCCTCAACAGTCTCAGGGCTGCAAGCAGCACCAGCCAACCTGGCAGCTGCCATTCTTTCTGTAAAAACAAACAAACAAACTATTGCAGCGCCTCTCACCGCTTTTCTGCATCACGGGACGCTCCTGCAGCATCAGTCTGTCTTTGACAATAGCCAGCTTCTCTCCAAGTTTTTTTGCAGTGCTTTTCAGCTCTGAATTCTCCTGCCGAGCCTCCTTGAGCTGCACATCCAGGTCCTAAACAGACAGAAAGGGTCTCATTGCTCTGGGGACAGTTCGCTGTGGAGTCGCACAATGTGCACAGAAGTGGTGTCAGAGCTGAAAGGTGGGTCAGTGCATAGCAGCCGCTCTTGTGTCTGGAATTCAGAGGCTCCCGTCCACCCAACCCCTACTCACCCTGATGGGCTGCGTGCCTCTGGGCACGTTATTTAAACTTTCGGTAGTGAGGATTAAATGAGATAAAGTGGGCAGAAAAAGTACTCAAGGATTACTAAGGATATTAGCTGCTGCAACTTCCGGAGCCGGGGCTCTGTGAGCGTGCGGGGTTTGTCAGTGGTCAGTCTTGTGAGTGGTCTGGCTCTCTGCGAGAGCCAAGTCCCCAGGATGTTAGGACAGGCAGGTTGCTGGGGAATGAGCAGGGCTTTAGAATGAGGCTGGCCTGACGTAAGAAACTTATTAGCTGTGTGCCTAGCGAGGTTAGTCTTTAAGCCTCTCCATTTCTAGACAGAAATTATCTTCTCTGTAAACTGTAGGTGTCTAAGCTCTCTGAGGTCCGGGACCCAGTCCAGCCGGCCATGTGTCTCCCACCCGTAGCCCCGGGTCTGGCACACAGTAGGAATTCCATAAACATTTGCTGACAGAATGCAGTTGAACTCAAGGGAAATAAGAGGAGTCACGTGGATAGAAGTCAAGTGCCTTGCCCAGTGCCCGACACATAGTAAGCGTTAAAATTAGGGACGGTGTTTATGATCCCCTTGGAAAGCTATCAGGACGCCCCACTTTACCTGCGTCCTCTCCTTCAGCTTCTGGGCGTACTTCTTCAGGTCACTTATCTTGCGGCCTCTGTGCTCCAGATCCCCTTCCAGCTTCCTGACCTGGGCCTGCAGGGCCGACTCCTGGACCTGGAAGTTCTTGCGGAGGTCCGTCTCCTTCTCCTGCCACTGCCACAGGGCCTCGCTCACGGACTGCTGCATGGCCTGCCGGATGGCCTCGGTGTCCCGCTCATACGTGGCCTGCAGCTCCTCGGCCTTGCGGGCGTAGTCCTTGCTCAGCTGCTGGTTTTCCACGCGCAGCCGCTCCACCTCCAGCAGGACCTCCCGCATCTCCTGGCCGTGGCCTGGCTCTGCCCGAGGGTCCGGGCCCTCCCGGGAAAGCCGGCCCCGCTGGGGCGCCTCGTGGCTTGTCAGGGGCCGGAGCCTCTTCTCGTAGTCAGCCTTGCGCTCCAGCATCTCCTTGGAGAGGCTGAGGACCCGCTCGGCGCGCTCGGCCTCCACCCGCAGCTCTCTCTCTTTGGTCTCCAGCCTGCACGTGGCCGACTGCGCCAGGGCCTCCTGCGTCAGCCTCGTCTGCAGCTCCAGCGCGCTTTCCAGGGCCTGGATGCGCCGGAGCAGGGCCTCCTCCTCCGCGGGCCCCTGTTGCTGCAGGAGCCTGGCCTCGGTCTCTGCCACGGCTTTCTGGAGTTCCTCCCGGTGGGCCTCGCGCAGCGCCGCCACGCTGGCCTCCGCTTCGTCCTGGCGGGTGTTGAGGGCGTAAATCACCTGCAGGAGAACCCACAGAGCCCAGTGAGTGTGAGGAGCGCGAGCGTCCGTGAGGGGCCACGTGACCGGAGATGCTCCTCCTCCGTGGCAGTGACGGAGGGGGACCCCCACCAGCAGCACCTGAGGAGAGGATGGGTGTGGGAGTGATTTATTGGAAACTGTCCCCAGGAGAAGCCCGCAAGGAAGCAGGGAATTGGGACAGGGGTGTGGTGGAAGCCAAGTGAGGGAGTGAGGACACATAAAGGTCACAGAGGGGATCTGTGGCGGAGATCCCTAGCGGACCTCTGGAGGGCCGTGGGAATCCAGCAAAGGGCTTAAAGCTCCAATTTTTTTTCTTTTTAAGGTTTTATTTATTCATTTGAGACAGAGAGATACGGAGAGAGAGCACGAGCAGGGGGAGAGGCAGAGGGAGAGGGAGAAGCAGACTCCCTGCTGAGCGGGGAGCCCAATGCGGGGCTCGATTCCAGGACCCGGAGATCATGACCTGAGCTGAAGGCAGAGCTTAACCATCTGAGCCACCCAGGCGCCCCCAAAACTCCAATTTGTGGGGAGAAAAGACCACTTTGGGACACAAAACAGCCCCCTCAAAAAAACCCAACAAAACATCAGAAAATAGAATTCAGCAACATGTAAAAAGGATTATATACCATGACCAGCTGGGATTTATCCCAGGAATGTAAAGTTGATTTAACATCTAAAAATCAGTTCATGGAATATACCATATGAACAGAATAAAAGACAAAAAGCACACGGTTGTATCAACAGACACAGGAAAAGCATCTGATAAAATACAACACTCCACAACCTAGAAATGTATCCATGGTGTAAGACTGTTTCTCCATAACTTCAGGAACAAGATAGGGACACTTTGTTACCGCAGAGAATGCAGGAAGGCGGAAGTGTGGTGGGGCCCAGGGACCCACCTGAGCAACAGGTAGATGTTTACTGAAAGGGAGAAACTATAGGTAGGACAGGCATGGGGAAGAAAATCAGGAATTCTGTTTTGGACAAATTAAACTTTATTGCCTCCTGGGGCATCAAAGCAAACAGAGATATTTCTGTAGCTCAGAAATTTCTGGAGCTCAGAGGAGGAAGCCTGACTAGAGATGAAGGGGATATGGAATCAGGATAGCTTTATTGTTACCGCTGTTTGCTTGACGAGGGTCCAGAGTATATCCGCACACGTCTCTCCACAGGTGCAGGAGGGAAGGAAGAGCTGGGCAGAGGCGTAAAGAACTTAGAACAGGAGACTGAGGGAACTCACCTTCTACGCTGTCAGTGAGGATGGAGGGAAGGCTGTTTACGGACAGTGTGCTGATAGGGGGTGGTCATCTCGGGCTGGGGATTTATGTGGTAAGTGTGGCAGAGGGAGAGAAGGACAACGTGTTTTCAGGAGCTGGCAAGCTGGAAGGAGGGGGCAGAGGTAGGTTTTTGGTGGTGACAAGGTCAAGGGTGTGGTGAAGGTGGAGTAGAGAGTAAGGTCACTGGGCGCGAAGGGGTCAAGAGACTGAGAAATCAAGGGGCTGCGTGGGCCCCACAGGGGATGTTGAACTCATTGAAAATGACTGGAGAGGAGCTGGGCTGGTGGAGATGAGTGAGAGTCAGGGGCCAAACACTCCCCATCAGCTCCCTGGGGCATTGAAGATAAAAAACATGCTTCTGAAAAGTCCCCACCACACAGTTTCACACTTACAGATCCTTAACCTTTGTGAGGTGTGTGTGTGTGTGTTGAAGAAGGTCAAATGGCAACACTAGGGCTGACATCTGTGATACATTTAATAGCAGTTTGCCTCGAGACTGCACAACTTGAGAAAGAGGAAGCATATATCCACAATGCTGCCGAAAATCTATTTTTCACTGTCTATATGTGACCTAGCTATTGGCGGGTTGTCTGTCTCCCTCCCTAAAATGCAGGCTCCGTGAGAGAAGAGCTTGGTCTTCTTCGTTCCTTCCTATTCATCCCCAGTGCCTGGCTCAAGGTCGACCCTCTAAAAATATTTCTTAAATGGATGAGTGAAAAATCTCTTAAAAGGAGGAATCAGAGCTCTGTCTTGAACGAGGTAGTTGTAAAGGTATGAGATGGGCTTGGCATCTTGTGAATTCTTGGGAGAATAAGCACTGCCTTGAGAATTGTGAATCTAACACTCTCTGATGGCAAGAACAAGGGAAGGAATCCCCTTCTCCCTCCCAGGAAGACCCCGCCCCCCATGAAATAAAGCTGCTGTCCCCACAACTCTTCCCTCTCATCACCCTTGCACACGATTTGGCCACCTTTGGTTTCTATGGCTTCTCATGGCTTGCATCTAAGAGTGGATCTGGAGTAAGTGAATGTTGAAACTGGTATCCACTGGCTGTCATTTGTGTTAATAATAAATACCATTTTTCCAGAATTTACTGTGTGCCTAGCACAAGGCTAGGTGCTGTATACGCATTCAGAATCTCAGGAAATCCTCAGAGCAATGTTGCAAATTTGGTATTTTTCTCCCCATTTTAAGAATGAAAATTTGAGGTTCAGAGAAGTTTGTAACTTTTGCAAGGTCACAAGAGATAAGAAATTTTGACTAACTCTAAAGCACATGCTCGCAGCATAGTACTGCACTGTGTCTCATTGTCCCATTCAACCATTTATTCCTTTATGCATTTACTGCACTTCTCAGAAGTGCCTGGCTCTGTGCGGGGCAAAGAACATGCTGGTTAATAAGACAACTAAAAGTTGTGACCTCAAAAATGTTATAATTTAATGGGAGAGTCAGACAAATACCCGTAAAGTTTCAATACCTTGTGATAAGTGCTATGACAGGGATCAGCACCAGTTACTATGGAAACACAGACGAAGGGGTTTAATAGGAAAGAAGACTTCCCAGGAAAAGTTAGCCTTGCCTACTCAACCTTGGGGTGACCTGTTCCCTTTTACATGTCAACTTGCATATGGACAAGAACAATATGACTTCTGTGTGCTGTCTCATAGCACTAGGGAGGAAGTTGAGCGCACCATAGGTTCATAATAAGTAGATCTATTATGATCCTGTCACAGGTCATCAAGGATTTATGCTTTCTTTCCACAGAGTTGCTGTAGGAGAACAGCCAAGAGACCACATTTTGTAGCCCCCTTTTATCTGCATGGAACTATGTTGCCTAGTAATTGCCAATGGTAGAGGTAGTGATGTCATCTTGGGGCCAACGTTGAGGTTAAGGTGATGAGGAGGGTTAAGTATTTTCCACAGGCTCTTTTTCCCATCTACAAACTTCATGGACAGGACCCAGAGGCTTTAGAAGAAGGTAGAACACCAGATGGAAGGTACCTGGGTCCTCGATGACTGACTAGAAGGCCATCCACCCACCAGGAGCACCACCACTGATCTTTATATAAACAAGAAATAAACTATTGTGTTGGACCTCTGACATCTTGGCATTTATTTGTTCCAACAGCTACCATTACCCTAGGAAAACTCACGGGACTCAGCACATAGTCATAATCCTATGATTATAGTGAAAGGATACAAAGTAAACTTGACAAAGGGAAAAGATGAACAGGGAGCGGTCTGGAGAAAAGTAGGCTCAAGCTTCCAAGGGTCCTCCCCCAGTGAAGTCCTTTCCCAGTACAATCACACAGGACTTGCTTAATTTCCTCATCAAGGAGTTGTAACAACATTTGTGAAATACTGTTTACCAAATGAGCTCTTTAAAAGCTTAGCAAGGTTTTTACTGGAGGCTAGTCTAGTCAGGTAGGCAACTTCTACTGGCAATACCAAAATTGCAGACCCCCAGGAGGAAAGGAGGTGCTCAGCATAAATCACATCGTTTGCATAAACAGTTTAGGCATAGTGAGTCACTCTTTTAACAGTTTGGGTGGTGGGAAGCCTCTGGAGATCCAAGTTTCCAGATGCCAACTGAGGGCTACTTTGCAAGATGACCACTCTAAGCATAAGCTGTCTTGGACCTGCTATGTTAACTCTTTTCTGTTCACCTAACACCCAACTGATAAAGATTCTCTTCAGTAGAGTTGCCATGAGTAGATCTGAACATAAATGAGGTTTTCATGGTGAAGAACAAAACATCCTTGAAAAGGTTATTCCATGAAATTTGGCATAGGTGATTCAGAAGGATAAAATCAACTACTGGTGCTGGTGCTGATCTGGGAGAATGGAGTTCCGACATTAACTTATATCTGTAGAACAGAAAACTTGGCTGACGATCCTGGATATCATGACGCCACACAAGCACTCAATGAAGAAAGAACCCAAATGTTTGCAGAAATTTCTCGTGTGAGTCTTCTCTGTCTTGTGAAAGCTCTCCCCACATGGACACCCTTGAATTAACACAAGATCAGAGGTAGCTGAGAAGGTATCACACTGTGGGTGGGCACACAATATCTGAGGGCATTTTGGCTTACGCATATTTACTCATGGTGTCTCACAATTAAAAGTCCCCAAATAATCCCCATCAAGGGTCTGCTCCAATTGTTCTGCTTGGCTGAGATCCGGTTACAGGGCTCTAGGCTTTCAACAAGTGCCAGACTCACCTCCCTTTCCCCTAACATCCTTGCCCAGAAGGTTACTCCAAGGATAGTGTGTGCACAAACAAGGAAATATATTATATTATATTTCATATCATATTTCATATCATATTATATTTCTTACCCTCTTTTAATACACATACACATACACATTCATCTAGACCATGATTTTTTTTTACTTAACAATAGATCTTGGAGGTTATATAATTTTGTACATAAAGAGATGTCTCATTTTTATTTTTGGCTGCTTCATATGCCATTGTATGGATGTGCTATAATTTATCTTTCTGCTCCTTACTGATAGACACTGAGTTGTTTCTCCATGGTGAGTACTGATATGTTTTTTATTTCACTGTTATGAAGTGAACATTCTTTTTCTTTTTCCATTCCTGCCAGTAAACTTGAGATCTGCTCTTTGCTTATGAATGAAATTCCAGAGCTTGGCTTTAAAAAAAAAACAAAAAACCCACTCAAATCTTCATAG